AGTTTCTAATGATTTATTTAAATTAGGCCTACTATGGAACTCTTGGTCACCCTCATCGCAATAATTTCCCTTCTTTTGAGAATCCATTCCAAATTTAAACTGCTTTTATGTTTCCTAACTTTAGGTCCGATAATATCGGGTAGGCCTATCGATACTTTTGATTTGATACTGTATCGATACCAAATATCGGCTGCAAACCAGTAACGGAACGTCCCTACCAGGTAGACTTTCATATCGGTTGTCAAAAATAATCTACGGTAAGTTACCTGACCAAACTAACCAAACAATATATCGAATGAAATAATCGAACAAAAATATGGATTGATAACTTAAACTTATTTTCATTCGGTTGTTTTTTACAACAGATGAAAGTCTAACCTCCCTAATTTTACCTATATACAAAGATTATTGATTAGTCTATACTTAAGCCTGGAACAACAAAATATAGGACTTACCTTGTTGGCAATTAGTCTATCAAACAGAGTTTGAACACCATCTCTAGATGCAATATTTTCACTTCTTTCACAAGCCCATAAACTGTTGAAATGTTCTTGCCACCTTGGTTTCATGCTTAAACAATTTAAATTGTTCATTGTATAGAAGCTTTTACACTGTTCAGTACACTACATAAAAATGTATTAAATACTATTTGAGTAGGCCTACAAGTTTTAAATATATTAACCAAAGTTAACCCTAAGGTTAGTTTGTACAGTAGGCCTATCTTTTCAAAGACAATTAATTAATTGTTTATCCTAAATCTATTTAGGGGATCACATGGATTTTACTGAGTAATGGATGATTTATAAACATATTATATAGAGTATAATATAATAAACACTCTTTAAACGTTAAAGAGTTAAGACATAATAATTTGGTAAAAATAAAATACTTAGGCTTGTGCTGCTAAGAGCACTAGCAGTAGCAGACAAAGTTTAGAAGTCTCAATCCCAATCTCAAATCAATCTCGGTTGTCCGTCCAGTCTCCAGTCCAGTCCTCTAGAGTCGTCTCTCCGACTCCGTCTGCTCTGTCACTCCTTCTCACGCGAGCCTTTCAAGACCGGAAAATGCCGCGCTTCTGCGCATGCGCTAGTAACTGGTGGCGTAGCAGCAGCTATTTCAGAAAGTCACGGTCACTAACCACTAACTAGCGTCGTTGTCGTAGTATTTATCTTGACTGCACTGCAACTGCAACTATAGTTCCTCATAATTATTATTCATATCGTTTGTTATTCTTTATGTTATGATCGAGTTATGTCTGAGTTGAAGTTGGGGTTAATGTTATTGATAGATTTTGATTGCTGCTGTGTTGCGGAGGTCATTTATTATCGATGATGTGCTCCTTCTTCAATGCGAAGATTCTGAGAAATACGAATGGAAGACATCAATAACACTGGAGTACTTTGTAGTTTATGTGGAAAAGTATATTTTTAGTTTATGGACGAGAAGTACAGAAGTATTCCAATTAATAAGCCAGCTATGTTCAACAAGGCAAGGCCAATAAAATAATTTGTTTTATTCACTAGCGCTTTTGAATTGAAACCTAGTTTCTGAAAGCGCTAGTGAATAAAATAAATTATTATGTATTAGCGTTGTTGAACATTTACATTTTGTTATAAATTTCATTGTAAGCAAGATGCCAATAATTCTCAAAAAGCTTAGACCATTAAAAATGAAATGAGAATTGGGATCTTCTCTTTTGGAAAACATGTTTGGGTACAATGAAGATAGATGAATAGATGATAACGGTAACGTAGCTCACCCAAGTTACTTAAAATTTGTTTTATAAAATAAAGGAGGTGCCAGAGGTTACAGTAAGTAAAGTAACACATACATAAACATAATCTGTAAAATTCTTCATTCAGTTACAGTAATTAAATGGTTTGGAGTTAAGTGCGGGAGAACCGTTCCAGTTTCAAGTAGATTGTTGCAAGAGTTGCAGTGAAGATACTAGTGTGATTTTCTGAAACAGCTGCAGCTGTTACAAGTGCTACGAATAACGCTTACTTGCGCATGCGCAGATACGCGGCATTTTCCGGTCTTGAAAGGCTCGCCTTCTCACCTCTCCCCTCCGATCTCAGTCTGTTTCGTTCCAGTTCCAGTTTTTTTTTTTTTTTTTTTTTCTAATAAAGGCCTATTATAATAAATAGCATAATATGGTAATAGTATAATAGTTAATAGTATCATAATAGTATACTTAGTTCTTGAATCTAAAAATAAGAAACAGAATTTTTATTATCATAGGAAAAAAATGTAAACATAACATTTTACAGACATAACTATGGCCATTGCATAATTGATTATGTTAACAATAGAGCAATGGGGGAATTGCGGCACCATCTTCAAATTGAATGCTTCAAATTTTTCGTCTAGTTCCCCGTAGCCTAAGCGAAACTGCTCGAATGATGGAAAGCTGGCTTTGGATCCTCAACCATCCGATAATTTGGGAGTATGGTTTTCTCCATTTTACAGCCAGGGCTTCGCTTGTTCTCCTCTGAAACACTTCAGATTCTTTGTGGGGGACTCCTTCCATGGAACATATTAATGGTGTGAAGCTTCCTCTGATGTCTTCGGCTGCTTTGTCATATTTATTGTGTTTCTGAACGGCATGGTTTCGAGATATTGTTCCCCATTCTTGGTTGGCGTAAGAGGGAGCGTCAGCATTAACAATGCGATTATCAAAAAACACTACTCTCTCAGCCTCCCAAATACCATAACTTTAAAATCAGCTTTTAAAGCAGTTTAAATCTTTAAGCTTTTAAATCTAAAAATAAGTGTTTCCCGGACGAGTGAGGTCGTTCCCGTGCGAGACGAAGTCGAGTACGGGATTACCTTACGAGTCCGGTACACACATTTTGGACGGGTTACGTACATCTATATATATATAAAATCCAATGTATGTTTGTATATTTGTATGTTTTTCCTTTATGGACTCCAAAACCGCTCTACAGATTGTAACGAAACTTTCAGGCATTATTAAGCATTATTCAAGGATGGTTTGTGTGAAGTTTGGTGCAGATCCGTCAATAGGGCTCCGCCCAAGTGGCTCTGGAGTTTCCCATGTTAACCTTATGAGTACTCATATTTAAATGGAATTAAAGAATCTTAACAGCTGGTGCAACTAAACAATTTGATTCTGTGATGTTCAATAGCATTAAAAAGTTAATAGGTTTACCAACAGGGTGCAGCACTATATTTATTTTTAATTTATGAGAACAGCTAATTTGCAACCAAAAGGTGAGTGAGCGTAGCGAACAAACTTCAACCTGGAGGCGAGTTAGCGTAGCGAACGAGCTAACCTGAAGGCAAGTGAGCGCAGCGAACGAGCTCCAACCTAAAGGTGAGTGAGCGTAGCGAACGAACTTCAACCAGGACGTGATTGAGCTATGCGAACGAGCTCATCTTGAAAATGAGCGAGCATGTGACATAAAACTACAATAGGACAGGACGACGTCTGTCGGGCCAGCTAGTATATATATAATAACAAAACTGTTGTTATTATCTATCTATGGTTACGTACGATAGTTTACGCCATACTGTACTACTAAATCTGTATAAATCCTTATTACCATAGATAAAACATAGTTTATTTTTTATCTATGATATTACCACCAACTAAAGGACTAAAAATCACTAGTCATAACCTCTTTTTGTTTATAACCACTCATTTGCCACCCAAATCCTTATATATAATACGTGAAGGTGATTTCTACGAAACACTACTCCTCCGTTAATAATGGACGGATTTTTGCAAACGGTGTGTCAAAATACAGTATTGTTTGTGTAGATGTCCCCTTTCACCAATTCCTTTAATAAAAGTCCTCGGGCTTTGCCCCACAGAGGCCATCAAATACCCAATGTATTTCTTATGGATAAAAGATTTTGTTTACTTAAACGGACGAATAATTTGTATTAATTACAGCTGTTCATAGTAAACACATGATACACACAAGAGCGTTAGTTTTCAGTTTCGATAACTGGAGTGTAGTGATTGATTACATTATCTTTGAGTTGACTATTTTAAGTCATCGGAAATTATGACTGTTATTCGTTTTGAAATAACGCCCGTAGGCCCTAATACTTTGAAATTGCTCGAATTCGAGCAACAGGTGTACTAGTACAGTATAATCAGCTGATTTGGTGTCCGCATTACAGTACAGTAGTACGCAATAAAACCCCATTTGATAAAGCTGGCGGCAAACAGCTGTTTTCTGGACTAAATCCTTGCGTGGGAAGTTAGTCAAAATATAATATAGTGTGGTGTGTGGCGTAAAGGTTTTTTTTAGTTAAAATAGACTCGTGTTGTTTGCACATGCCGTGTCTGAGTTTGTATACAACCATAGACTAACCAACACAAGGGAGTATGTTTTATCTATGATATACAACCTATTATTATTTTTTGGGATTGGAAATAAAAGCTATTGCACTAAAAAGCAAGTGAAAAGGCAAAACAAGTAGCAGAACCGTTTTTAAATTCAAGTACCACACAATACGCACCATAGCCTTGAATGAAAAGGGTTTGTTCTGTTGATGTATGGGCTTAGTAAGTTCTCCAGCTTAAACAAAGCATGGTATTTTAGGATTAACAAAAGATTACATTGTTATCTTTATCCGTTTTGAAGTTATAGCAAATCTTCCAAGAGACTGTAAATTTATCTAAAAAGGGGGGTTGAGAGGAAAGCTCAAGGGGAAGGGGGAGGAGTGGGGGCTTTTGGGAAAATACGCCTCTCACTCAACATGGTCTAACAGCATAGAAAAATCCAGCTTTACCAAAATTAGTTCCGACATTTGCCTTATTTTTACCTTTATTGACTGGGCTATTAGTATACACGCTTATATTGAACCGATAGTACACGGCGTTTTTGTCCGAAAATATGCTCATTGCTCACCGTGGTTCAGACTTCAGTCAGTTCAGTCCTAGTCCCAGTTTCCTCTTCCCTTCCATTGCAGTGCAGTTGATCCGGAGTGTAGCGTATTGTTCTAACTTCTAACTTCTGTTCTGTCGTCTGTCGTCAGTGTCAGTCAGCCACACGGAACGGAAAGACATTCTACAATCTACACTGTGTGTAATTGCGATTTGTGCAATATTTTAAAACATCGTTGAAAGTTTTCCTTTGTTCAAACATTTTAGGCATCAAAAGTCAGTAGGCCTACTATTCTTTTTAATAACTCGAATTTACTTTAATTTCTGTGCGACGGACTTAGCCTAGTTCACTTCACCAAAGCTACATGATGAAGCAAGTCTCACTATTTATATTTTCAATTTTCATCTTAGGTAAGTAAATTTTTTACTAAATAAAAAGATAAGTCGAGACAGGCTTACCACACTTTAAACTGTTAACAAATCATGGTTAACTTAATGAATCTCACAACAAATCAGCCAAGCCTAACAATTCTAGACAGGACTACTTATACATTAGGCCGTCGACACACGGGAAGACTGTTTTCCAACTGAAATCGGCAACTAATTGGACAAACTAGTCGCCAGCGTCCCGACCAATATAGTTAGGTGCGACTGCGATGCGACCAGTTGAGGACCAGTCGGCGATCAGTCGTTAAGCAACCGGACCTGCCGGTTGCTAGGTGATTTCAGTCGCCTGGTTTGAACAACTTTTCGCATATTTGTATTGCGCTTTTCAAGGATCGGGCATACCAACTGCGATAACTCTTTGTAAGCACTTTTTGACATCCTGTTCATAGGCTGAAATTTTGCGTCTGTTTCTTTTAATGCAGCGGCAGCTAACTTATAAAGAGCCTACGTTTAATATTTGTTTTAACATAAGGATGTACCCAATACCTTCTACGTTCTTGATTGTCTATAAAACACCAGGGCTTCTTAATCACTACCACTCATTTCAAACACCATACACAGTACACAGTATCGTTATAACAAAATTAGAGCTCATTTACTGTCTCAACTCAACTACAGTCGCGCCCGTGTGCGGATTTAACCAACGCAACTGCAATCGTAATCGCGTCACAAAAAAGTTGGTTCAACTTTAGTTTGGTTTCAGTCTTCCCGTGTGTCGACCGCCTTACACTAGAGGCCTGAGTTGATTAGTAATAGGCTTTAACTTCGTCAAAACCATAGACTAACCATCTCAAGTAGACTACTTCTCATCCCATTGTGAATTTTGAAGCTCGTTTTTCTTTTTATTTTGTTTCTATTTAGGGTTAATTTCGTGATTGATGCTTTACTTACTGTTTGGTTACATAACTAAGGGACGAGTTATTTTTATGATTATATCGTTTAATTTGGTTTAAAAAGGTTTTAAAGGTGTAAAATGACAAGAAACTAAAGTTGTAAAGTTGTACACAAAACACGGCCTTTACAGTGCACTGGACAGAACTAACGATAAAACTGGCTTCAGCTGTTTCATAAGGTTAATAAACTTGAATCTACCAAGGGAGTATGTTTTATCAATGTCAAAACATAACTGGAAATTCTCTATGCTCATCTTGGCGCTAGACAGTTCTGCAGAGAACCTGCGATACTTTAGATTAAATATTGACATTACTATCGGGGGAGCGAGCTAGTCTAGTGGTTAGAGCGCAGGACTTCGGTCCCTGAGGTCCAGGGCTCAAATCCCGCCGAATAACCAATGTATTTTATCTAAGTGATAATGCCGCAACCCCTAGGTCTAGCCTGAAGTAATGTGAAAAACATTCCCAGGCATGAGCGTTGCGTCCGAGGGCAAAAAAATATTCATCTTGATTCATTCCAATATATTGCTTAAAGTAAATATTTCTTTCCTAAGTTATGTAAACATTGAATTGAGCTATGGTATTTTTATTTACTTTATTACTTTTAATAAATCTAAACATCAAATTGATTAATGATGGGCTACAACTTAAGCCTTTACGTGTTTATTGATGTTAAATGAAACCATCAATATTTAACTAAAAACTAAGTTACTAACTGTTACTAACTAACTGTTTTTGTGATGTGCATGCAGTATTTAAATAATAGTTTTGATTTGATTTCTAAACATTAGGTTGCAGTAGTTTATTACTGACTTGGTTGGAATGAATTAGCCTAGATTTAATATTTAAATTGGGATTGGCCAAAATATTACAATAGAAAAAAGGGAGAAAGCATGTATAATTTGATATACTAAATAAAAAGAAAACTGAATTAACACTGTGCTGCATTTCTTAAGCAATCATTGAAAGAACTATGGAAACATTGGAAAGTCATAGAATACCACCAAGTAGAAGAAATAGAAATAATGATTTTTTTAGAATTTATAACCATTATTATGGACAACCTAATGCGGCTATGAGTGGGAAACATTTGTAGAAAACACTAAAAACCAAAATCAGCTTTTGAAAAATTAATATTTACAAGTAATACAGAAGTAGATTATATCGAACTGTTATGTACATCATGAGTATTTTTCATAATCTTGAGTCGACTTTTTTAAGGTCATCGAAAATTTACTTTTATTCATTTTAAAATAACACCTGTAATTTACTTTGCAATTGCTCTAATTCAAGCAACAGGTACACTAGTATGGATTTATTTTTTCCTACACAATTTTGATAACAATTTTCATCTTCTCTTATTGAACAGTGTATATTATTTGACCCTCCTGAATCAGAAAAATAAACTTGATCGTACTTGACCGTAAGTCCGTGGGTGTTATTCCAATTCTGTAATGAACTTTACTGTTGAATTCATAGCCTACACATAAAGCCCTTCTCTTGTGTTTGGTCTAATATTGCGACTAACACTTACTATAGTAAATGAGTTGTTGAAACTTCTTATTTTTGACTTGAAATGTCTTGATTTTAGGTGGCTTCCAGTCAATAAACGTTGTATAAGTTTCCATGTAAAACTGGTAAAGGCGCGTTTACGTTAATTCGAGCTCCCATTCCAGTTATGCTCGCATTCGTGCTCGAACAAGTGTCAACCACAATTTTACTCACATGCTAGTACTGTAGTGGAATGCGAGCACGAATTACATTTTGCTGTTCGAGTTACTTTCCAACATGTTGGGAAATGCTCGCATACGATATTGTTGTAAAGCCAGTTTGTGAGAACGTAGGTGTGGTGGAAAAGTGATGTTTCTGTTTGTTTATAGCTTTTGTGTTTACTACTTAGATAAGTGAAGGCTAAGTTAATGATGTATGTAAAATTTCTTTTTTTTTATTTTTCCCCACGGATCACCAAAATACCTTGAATAATTTCACTCATACTACTTAAAGGCTACATACTATATATATACTTATACAAACATATTATACATCCCCATACAGTTCTTGAATATGTTCACTCATTCATTATACATACTAAAAATAAACTTATCACACAGCGATCACTTAAGACCAATGTGATCTTTGAAAAGAATACTTAACTTTCGCCTTACATCTACATCACTCGCGACTGCTACTATTATTCCAGTAACAACTACAATGTAAACGTTGCTGGAATTCGATCCGTCATTCGATGTTGGAATAGTAACTCGCTCGCTATTGCATTCCATTAACTCGAATGCGAGCTCAATTTAATTTAAACACGCCTTTACCTATCTTTTTTAGTTTTTGTGTAAATAACAAAAAACCTAATTTCCCTATATCAAATGCATGTTATTTGGGTTTAACACTACAAATTATTTTCTGAAATGGAGCCATTAGTGTTAAACCCAAATAACATGCATTTGATATAGGGAAATCAGGTTTTTTGTTATTTACACAAAAACTAAAAGAGATATGAAGTAAGTGTAAATTACAAAGTTGTTCAGAATTAAAAAAAAAAAACCTATAAAATAATGTGGATTTTGACACTTGTTTATATTTGAAAATTTTGAGAAATGGGCATTAGCAAATTTTCAAAAAATATTTTTTTGGTATTTTTGTTATTTCAAAAAACCTTTACTTGTAGCATATTGGATTAAAGCTAATTTCATAACAAGTAAGAAAATTCAACCGGAGAAGGGCTAAGTTCATTGGTATAGGAAACACGGTGTATTAAAAACATAGGCATATTGATTTTTCCCCCAAAAAAACTGCCACCATTTTGAAACGGAATAAGATAATTAATTTCTGTTTTTGCCTAAATGTTTGTCTAATAAATACCTTTAAAGTGATGTATAACATGACATATGTTTACATTTGAAAATTCTGAGATTCGAACTAGTGACCCTCAGTTTTTGGCACACCCTGTATCGGAAAAAAGCACCCTGTATATTTTTACGTTATTCCTTGGGGTTGATTTAGTGGAAAATTATTTTATTTCATCCTTGTACGTTTATCAGTTTTTCCGTAGTCAATTTTTAGACACCTTTCGGGGGACACCCTGTATATATATAAATAGATAGATTGTAAATTACATTGAAAGTACTGTGTACGAATTACTTACTAGTAGGCATACTTAGTTCTAGCACAAACTATAATGACAACTACCGTACTGAATTTTATTTTTATCAATCCAAACTGGTTTTTCTTTTATTTTTTACTAGACGAGTTACAAGTATTGACAAGAGTCATTTGATTATTTTTTGCTGTTTAAAAATTACCCCATTGAAGATTTACATAGGTACAAGGAAACACATAGTTTACAATAAAATATTGTTGTAAAATCAGTTGGATGATTGAGAAGGAAAGTTTTCTGCCTTCTTGTAGCTGAAGGGACTCCCAAGGCAATGAATACAAACCACTATAAGGCTGTTTGTCCTTGTAGCAAGGTTATTCTTGAGATATCCTCACCATGTCATTAAAACTTATTAACCTGCGTGACTAGTTTTTAAAATACCTCATGCATTGTTTAGCGAATTTCCCATAACTTGTAGGGTATAACAACCTATTTACTCTTCAAGCCATTCTGTAATCTTTCTGATCACAACATGAAGAGAAATTATCAAGAATCAAGAATTTTTATTTCCACAAAATGCAGGATTACATTACCGGAAAACCGTCAGTACAACTACAGTTAAAATAAAACTAAAATATGAGAATAGTAGGCCTACAAGGTTTCTTACCAGTATAAAATATATTAAATTCCTGAAACTCGATCCATGCAGAGAATCAAGTAACTATCGTTCATTACAAGCTCATTCCTGTGTGTGTAGGCCTAATTGTTTAATTATTTAGGCTACATGATATTTAAGTTGCACTTTTTAATGTTATTATTTAATGAAAAAAGTATAATGATATATGTTAGTAATTAATTGAAAATAAACAGATTTTACTGACTAAGAAAAGTTATGATTGTTGTTAACTGAGATTTGGTGGGTTTACACACACAAAGAACATTGTGTTCACCAGTGACAATGG